ACTCGACATTTAGTCGTCAAACTAGACTGTTTTACCACAGCATGATGCGGTAAAAAATATCCGTTATCATTGTTAAAATCCGTTTCAGACATATGGCCTAATTCTATATACTCATTCATAAAATTAACATACATATTTTTCAAATCTGTATTTTTGTTTAAACGTTTTTCCAATAAGTCAAATCTATGCAATGCCATAGTTTTAGAATCCCCTAATTCATTTATTGTATTCTTAAATGGGATTTTAACTATATATCTTCCTGAAGAATCCTTTTTAACAGTTTCCTTAAAATAATTTTCGCAAAACATTTCTTCGTTTGAATATATTTTCTTTTGCGAACCCAATTCTTCAACTTCCCAGAACTTTATTACTTGATTATTTATTGAATCATTATTAGTATAAGTATTCACATTAAAAAATGTAAGAGAATTTTTAGGCTCTAACGAATTAAGATATAAATTCCCAGCAATTATCCAACCAAATTCTGTATTTTGCAAAATTGGCATATTTGGACCCAAAGTTTTTCTACCTGATAACAAAACAGACCAAAATATACTCGATCCTAGCAATAAATCTATATCATTAGACACATTAAAATCTGGATCTGCCAACTTTAAACCTAAGGGAATTTTTAAATCATTTTTATTAAAAGACCTAATCGGTAACTTTCCCGTAATATTGGGAATAACCAAACAATGAGTCTCCATACTAAAATCTCCTTCGCAAGAACTTAGCGTGACAATAGCTTCATTATTAATTTTTGCTAGCGCCTCTCCAACACCCTTGACCAAATGTTCTACTCTTCGAAATTTTAAATCTAAAAATTTACAAATTTTCTCACCAACAAAATTACTTTGAGAACCGCTGTCCAGTAATCCACGGCAAACAATTGATTTATTTCCATTTACAATGCGAATTAAGACCGTCGATAATAAAACCTCAGAAATCTCATGAGAGCTGACAAGGCGGTTGGAAACGTGAAGAGCAGAACTTAGATGACGCTGACCGCTGTCTGAGCGTTCAATACAGTTCTCGATGTTTTGATTAGATTCTATTTTATGTTGATTCGGATCAATTGAATCAGTAGTAGCCATATTTCTAGAAACATTATTTGTGATGTGATGATTTAAATGCAATAATGAATTATGCAACTTTTGACATTTTATACATTTTTGTAGCTTGCATTTCCATGTTGGATGTGAATTCCTTAAACAATTTAAACACAACTTTAATCTTTTAGCAGCCGAGATTCTGTCATTTACATTTAATTTTAGAAATACATCGCACTTATATATGGGATGATCTTTTTGACAAAAGTAACATTTGACATTGGAATATCCTTCAATAGAAGCAAAACTTCGAGAACTTACATTGCGAACCTTTGCTTTATTATTTGTATAACCGGAAGATACTTGAAGCATCTCCAACATTTCACATTTCTCTTTTAAAAATCTATTTAAATCGCCCATACTGGGTAAATCATTTTCATGTTTAAAACATTCCCATTCCCTTCTGGTGGTAGCATCAAATTTAGAACACATTATAAATATTATTATACTATCCCAACTTGTTGTATCTAAGCCTAAACTATTTAATGACCGTAAATGTTTAGTGACATTATCAAATAAATTTCTTAGTTCAACATAAGACTCGTTATTAATACTAGGATGATCAAAAATTGCTTTTAAATGGTTGTGAATAATAAGTTTTTTATTCTCATAACGCTCTGTCAACATCTGCCAAGCTATTTTATAATTTGTTGACGAAACCTCTATAGATTTTATTATTTGCTGAGGATCCATTTCAAGAGAAGATCTTAAATAATAAAATCTCTGAATATCTGTTAAAGATTCATTATTATGAACCAATGCCAAAAAACAATCTTTATATTCGAGCCATGAGTCATAATGGCCATTAAAACTAGGCAGTTTTATAGGTGGTAACTTAACCAAGGCCTGAAAACTATTACTATTAATCCCTTGATTTGAATCACTATGAACTGATGCATTCTCAGTATTATTTTCTATTTTAAAATTATCGCAAAGTGTTTGCATATCACTAACAAGTTCGAAATAGGAAGTCTCAAAAGTGTTAATTTCATTTATATCATCATTACTCTGCTCTATTTCATCAATTTTTTCTTGAATCTCATGAAAATCTTCATACAAGGGTGAAATCTTGCTTAACCTTAACTCTAGTTCTGTGATTAACTTTTTAGACACATAATCCTTATCAATATTATCAAAATAATTCTTAAACCTTGTAAGTTTCCCTTTAACTACTCCCCTTTTTGATTTTAAACTCTTTAACTCTTGCTCAGCCATTGTTGCACAGATGAAAAATACAATGAACCAAAGTCACTTACCTTATATGGTTTTATAACCTCAAATCAACATTGGCTTCCTTGGCACTGAATGTCGTAACCTTAACCTTTTCAAATTGACATCGGCTTCTGCACTGAATGTCGTAACGTTATAAATATATAATATATAAACCTTATAAACCTTTCAAACTGACATCGGCTGGGCTGGCACTGAATGTCGTGTTTAACCTTTTATTTTTATTTGACAATTTTCGCTGTTTTTACTTCAGATATTCATTCCATCCGCTCGAATTGGACCAAAAACTAAATATGTATGAACTTCTGGCTAATCATTGATGATTTACCATATTCCTGCTTGTACCATTTATTATTACAAATATAAAAAACTTTAATTAATTAGGGAGACGTGTTTACCTATTTATTGCTGCATGACAAGAGAGCGAAATTATCATTTGACAGCCGTTACATCAATCATGACAGGCTTGCCTTGTCTTTTACTACACAAGTACCTAAGCTTAACAAAATAAAATTTATGTCTAAACAACTACTATCACAACTTTATAAAACATTCACAAAAATAATTACAAATAGATTAACAACAATGTTCGATGTATATCAACCAGTAGAGCAAGCCGGATTTAAAAAAGGGTTCAGTGACCATCTTCACACACTAAAGGTCCTAATAGAAAAAGTTAACGAATACAATTTACCAATCTGTTTAGCATTTATAGACTACGAGAAAGCTTTTGACAGCATAGAATTATGGTCTATTGAGGAAGCACTGGTTAACAACAGAATAGATTCTAGATATAGAATATTATTACATAATATATATCAACAAGCTGAAATGGTAGTCACGATGAACAACGAAATGACAACGAGGCCAATAAAAATCAACCGAGGAATAAGACAGGGAGACACCATATCTCCAAAACTATTTACTGCCGCACTTGAAGACATCTTTAAATCACTAAATTGGGAAACAAAGGGACTATCGATAAACGGAAAGTATTTAAACCATCTAAGATATGCAGATGACGTAGTACTAATAGCCGATAGCTGGAAAGAACTGAAGACGATGATCGATGAGCTTCATACGGAATCCATAAAAAAAGGACTGAAAATGAATCTGAGTAAAACTAGTAAGCTAATGTCGAATAAAAATGATCAACCGACGACAACCATCCAAGGAACAAAAGTGGAACATGTAGAAGAATACATATATCTGGGTCAGAATATCAAAGTAAACAAAGAAAACCAAACTACCGAAATAAGCAGACGAATAAGAATGGGATGGGCCGCATTTGTAAAACTCTCATACATACTAAAAGACAAAAAGATACCCCAAAACCTTCGAACCAAAGTGTTCGATTCTTGTATCGTTCCCGTTCTCACTTACGGAGCTCAAACATGGCATTCACAAAAAAGAACATGGACAAGATTCGAAAATCTCAGCGAGCCATGGAAACAAGCAGTTAAATTAAAATGGAAATTTGCTGGACACAATGAACGTCTCGAAGATGGTAGATGGAACAAAGAAGTCGGAAACTGGCGACCGTACGATGCGAAGAGACCAAGAGGAAGACCTCAAATGCGCTGGAGCGGACGATATCAAAAGAGTCGCAGGACCAATGTGGAAACGCCTAGCACACAACAGGGATGAATGGCGAGAAATGGGAGAGGCCTTTATTCGATAATTCGGATAGAAAAAGGGCTATAAAAAAAAGACCAATAATGACATATGCCTCAGAAACAATGCCTTAGGCTACTGGAAACGCCAGAGATAAGAGTACTGAGAAAAAGTATATTAAATATGCTGAGAGATCGAAAGAGAAGTGAAGACATTAGAAGAAAATGTAACGTACAGTGTATAAATGAATGAACACAAAATAGAAAATAAGAATGGAATAACCACGTATGCAGAATGAAGGAGATCTGTGTCGTCAAAATAGCAAGAGATAGGTCACCAATCGACAGAAGTATCGAACAACCGAGCAAAAGATGAAGTGATAACCTTACATAGATTTATTAATTTGACAATAAACAAGCAGAATTGCTTATAAAGAAAAAGAAGGAGAAGAAAAATATTCTAAGACGAAAAAAAGAACAGAAGGATAGTAAAAAAAATATCACTACAAGATCTAAGGAAATGGCAGAATTTTAGTTTAAAACAACTCTTTGAAAATAGCTTCTTCTTAACTAAGAGTAGTTACAGTATTTGTCAGTCTCTATAACAAATATTTTATTTAAAGAACAACAGAGTCAGATGAGACTATAGTTTACTATATAAACTAGACAGAACAAATAACTAAAATTGATAAAAAAAATCCATAAATCACTAGCACAGATATGGATAAAGCACTTAATGTCAGAGTAATGCAACATATACCATCTGAATTATCATTATAATGAAGAATTATTAAATTATTTAAGAGAATAAGTTTATATGGTTTACAGTATGGTAACACACAATAGCAGACTTCAAAAACAAATAGTTCGTTTTACCGTTCGAGGCATATTCCGACATATTAAACAAAAGGTTTTTGACAATTAGGTTAAATACAACAAAAACTTTTTTCCTCTAAAATTTCCATTACGATATTTTGTTAATATAATTACGGTCCGACAAATAATTATCTTTTTTGAGCAATCTTTTTGAATACTTTAAAGTACTTACAGGTTCTTCAAGAAGGTTTCTCAATCGCTCTTCCGGCGATAGTCCTTTCTTCGGTTTGACTATAAGATATATTCCCTCGACGTCACAAGTTCTTAACAGCTTCTCGATGATCAACTTCCCCAAGAATCCTGTACCGCCAGTAAGGAGAATGTTTTTATTTTTATAAAATGACCTCACGTCACTGTACATCGTATTGAACTAGGGGATTGAAACTTGAGAATTGCCCTCCCCAGGGTATAACTGCGGTGAATGATACGATTATAGATTTGATTAAATATTTAGATGGAGAAAAGGATGGTTGTGACGTGGAAAATGAAACTGAAACTCCAACCACGCCATCAATACCGAATACAGAATGTCCTGTTTTACTCCCTTCTAAATGAAATTTCCTTTAAAAATAGATTTAACATATCATTACTGATGATTATAAATTGAAAAACTTAATTATTCCATTAAAAACATTTGAAAACATTTAACAGCGTAGATTAATAATTAGAACATTTTTTATATCACCTTATGGATGAATAATGTTTTAATTAAAATATTAAATGAATTGGTCATTTCAGAAACAACATGAGTCAGAAAATATAGTTTTGAGTAAATCACAAAAAACTGTTTTAAAGCACTGGTTTTAGGTTTTAAAAAAGTGACTTATGTTGTTTCAGAACAGAATTAAAAACAAAAAAAAAAATGAAATTTTATTGTCCATCAAACAAAGTATAAGCGTATAATTATTAATTGCATTACTAGTAAGCCACTGCATAATCTCTTCAAAAATGATCTTTTTTTCTCTGGTAGTGAAGAAGGTGAGAATATGGCCCCTGCTGATAAGTCGACTCCCGAGTGAATTTATCACTTCCGCCAATGCCATCGTTGATTTACGTTTGATACTACAACTATCTTTATCTATCGAAACTTATCAGGACCTGAGTACTACCACGTTTAGTCGACTTACAAAACTCGCTTCATTCACGTGCTTAACAAAGCTTTTTGCCGTTCTTCTGTTTATACGATTTTTTAATTTGTTGATTTCCATAGATTCTAACAAAGATATCTTAAGGCCTTTATTTTGAATGTGAAGAATTTTAAATTTGTCATTAAAAGAATGATTATGATCTAGAAGGTGAAGTGCGTATGTTGAATCTGTTTTTCTATTATTGAAAGCCCTTTTATGTTCTACTATTCGTTTATTAAAGTTTCTACCAGTTTGACCGATGTAAGTTTTTGGGCAGTCGCCACATTGAAGTTTGTACACACCACTATTTAAGTGTTTTTTATTTTTGCTCTTATTCTTATTTATATATCTAGATTAACAGAAATTCCGATGTCAAAATACAACTTTGAGACAGAATTAAATATAATTAAGCAAATGGCAGTAAACAACGGATACAACGAACAAAGAATTAATAAAATGTTAAATCAAAAACTACACAAGAAAGCCCTAAAATTAGTATTTTCACCACCAGAGAAAAAAACCAGTACCATCTGCTCGATTACATATACAGGCAAAATAACAACAAAAATAGCCAAACACATAAAAAAGAAAGGAATAACACCAGCTTTCCGAACAAATAACAACCTAGGCAAATATATTAAAAATAACAAGAGCCAAAATAAAAAACACTTAAATAGTGGTGTGTACAAACTTCAATGTGGCGACTGCCCAGAAACTTACATCGGTCAAACTGGTAGAAACTTTAATAAACGAATAGTAGAACATAAAAGGGCTTTCAATAATAGAAAAACAGATTCAACATACGCACTTCACCTTCTAGATCATAATCATTCTTTTAATGACAAATTTAAAATTCTTCACATTCAAAATAAAGGCCTTAAGCTATCTTTGTTAGAATCTATGGAAATCAACAAATTAAAAAACACAGATATAATTCTGAATGACCAACTTGAGACAAACAGTTCTCCCCTCCTCAATCTATTTCATTAGAGACTATAAATTGTAAACGCATGCCAAAAATAGATCACTTAAGAAAGGTAATTAGCCGAAACAGCTGTAGTGATAATAGTTAAAATAGATTTTGTGAAAGTTTGAAAACAAAGTTTTCAGTGTTTTATTGTTAAATAATTTTGCCACCTAAGTCTGTCACGAAGTAACTATTGTTATATATTCTATTCGAAGTTTTTTTTTATTCGACACATAAATATAATAATAATGATTACATATAAATCTCTTATTGCTATTTTTTTCCATGAAAGAATATTTATCTTGGTAGAACCTACATTTATGAAATATCTAGTAATTTTTTTAGCCAATTTCAAAGGTAATATAATTCACCGTTGTTTTTACAATAACAGTAAAAGAGTAAATATTGGAGATTTGTATTGGTATAGTTTTTCAAGTACACAGTATTTGTGTTTGGTTTACAGGTCATTAAGGACTCTATATGGCTCGCTACGCATAATTTATGAAAGATATAATAAAACATAGTATATTAAATTTATAACGAGTATCTATTTACAATGAACTATAAACAAGACCCTTTCTTGCTAAAAATTACTGCTTACCTCAGAATATTGGTGTAAGTTATCCTTTTTCTCATTTTTATTTGTTTAAGAAGGAGCTTTTTTAGAAACAGCTTACTCATATCTGTTTTTAAAAATTTTAGTTTAAAGTCTGATAAGGTAAATTGGGTTGTGATCCTAGAACAAGTTCAATACACAGAGAAAGTAGAAACTTTCCTTTCAACTAACAGTTTTGTAATTTTAGAGAACCATCCAATTTACACCTTTAATAATAAAACAAAAGCAATGATTAAATTGTTTAATGATACTATGGCTAAATATAACAAAAGAAAGTTAACTGTATCTAATCCTATACTACCTAGGTTGTATGGGCATTTTTAATAGGGCATCATGGGAAAAAATCATGTCCAGGTTGAGAGATTGGGCGTTAATGAGTACCTGGTCAACCTAATTGACAGATACTATACTGACAGGTCCATAAGAAAACAAGATACCAACATTAGTTTATCGCAGGGTGTTCTGCAGGGTTCAGTACTAGATCCCATCCTGTGGAATGTCCTGGACGATGGGGTGTTGAAGCTACAGATGCCAAAAGGATGCACTCTTGTAGCTTATGCCGATAATCTCGCACTGCGAGAGAAGCAAAAACATAAGAATAGCATGCAATATAGAAGACGTAAATGGATGGGTGACAAAACGGAGACAGGAGTGGAAAGAACACACCAGTAGACTGGCAGAGGAGATAATATTACAAACAGCACGAGATAAGTCATTAAATGGACGAAGAAGTATTGACAGACCAAGAAAAACATCGTGCGATAATTTAAAGAAGTTTTAGGAGGCTATTATTAAAGAAGAAACAGGCTTTAAACCCTACATTCAAGAAGGAAGAAGAAGAATGTTGTTATTGCTCTTTCGTCAGTTATATCACTTCTGAATCGGAATTTTGAACGAAAAAAGAGCCACTTTGGCCCCTAAATCTAGAATAAAACCCAATTGTAATTAAGTGTTTTATTAATTTTTCAACAATTCCCAATTTATTCTAACGGTGTTGATATTTTTTATGCTATTACTAAGAAAACTATTCTGGATGCGGCCCGAGAAGATTTGGAACGAAAATAATAAACAAAAAGTGGTCAACGAAAACACCATGGTTTACACTAGACGTTAAACAAAAATGTCACAAAAAAAAGCTTTCCTAAAATATAAGTCAGAAAAAACGAATGAATCATATAAAGAATATAAAAGAATAAGAACTGAAACTCATCAATCGGTAAGAAAAACAAGAACAGATTACTGGAAAAGATTCACAAAAGGACTAAAGATGGAGTTCTATGGACAACAGAAACAAGTATGGAACTTCATAAGACAACAAAAAAGCGAATTAAAAGAACTAATTGAAATTGAAAACATACAAGAGGAGACATGGGTGGCATTCCTATCAGAAATGTTTAAGAAACAAAACGAAGAACCTTTATCAGAAACGCCAAATATAATAACTGAGGAAAAGACCGAAATCTCCCAAAACAATGTAAAAGAGGGAATAAACAAATTAAAAAACAGAAAGTCACCAGGAGCAGATCAAATACCAAATAACCTCTTAAAATATGGAGGTGATTACCTTGTACAACAACTGCAACTTCTTACTAATAAAATAATCACCACTAATAGAATACCAGATAAATGGAGGAGAGCGATCACGGTGATGTTCTTTAAAAAAGGAGATAAGAAAAGTTAAAAAAGAAGAGGATATAGAATGGGAGAAAAGGAAATAAGAATAACATGCTACGCCGACGACGCCATAATAACAGCCGAAAATGAAGATGACCTACAAAGATTAATTAAAAAATGCGAAGATACGGCGCTCATATACAACATGGTGATCTCAACAGAGAAAACGAAAGCGATAGAGATATCAGCGAAACCGAGACGATGTAAACTAGTAGTAAATAACAAAATAATAGAACAAGTGATGGAAACTGAACACTTGGGAATAAAACTGTCAAGCTACGGAAAAGTGAAAGAAGAAGTACAAAAACAAGTGAACATGGCAAACAGAGTAGTAGGATGTCTCAACAACACAATCTGGAGAAACAAATACCTTACAACGGAAACGAAAACCAGGATAATATAAATCAACAATAAGACCGATAATGACGTACACAGTGGAAACAAGAGCAGATACGGCGAAAACACAAATACTGCTGGAAACAACAGAAATGATAGTCTTACGCAAAATAACAAACCAAACTCTAAGAGACAGAGTAAGAAGTGAGGAAATACCAGCTGTGGTATAGAAGAAATAAACGCGTGAACCAAAAGAAGAAAAGTAGAATGGAATCAACACATCGAAAGAAAATAGAATAGTTCGAATACCAAGAGACAAATCGTCAAATAGAAAAAGATCATTGGGACGACCGAGGAAAAGATGGTCAGACAACGTCAATTGAGCCTAAAAACCGAAGTAAAACAGACATTAAGCCTATTTATAAAGAAGAAGACTAATGCGAGTTAGTTAAAATCAAATAATTGAATTAGTTAGTCATCCCATTAATTGTGCGGTGAAATAAACTGTAATAAAGAAAAAATATTTAATATTTTCCTATTACAAATTATAACTTTTGAACTCTTTTACAATGTAATACTTAATAAACAAGTAAACAAATAACAAATCCTTTTTCTCGGTATCTTAATTGATTTAATGTCTACATAACAATTATCCTACATCCATCTGATATAACAAAACTACGTAACTTCAATACCAGAAATGAACTACAGAAATGTCTGACATTCACAATTAATTGAAGTAGATACTTATTAATTGAGACTGGTTTAATTTTAAGAGCTCCAGCAGTTCATTGTTTTAGTTCGGAGTGTGGCTATATCGGTCTGTGTAGTCTTGTTAGGAAAAGTGACTGAAATTGTTAATAAATGAAGCTATTGGTAATCATTATATCGTGCATTTTTAAAGGTAAGAACATTGTATATTAAGAAAATCATTCAAGTAGTGAAGTTTTATATTAGTAAATAATAAATCTGTAATAAAGTTAATCAGAAATATACCGGGTGAACCATTAACTTGTAATGCTTTTTCTGTTGTCCTCGTCTTTTCCTTGAATTATTAGTTTTTCAATGATATATACCCTCTACTATCTGTGTTGTTTAGTGACGTTGACTTTGGTCTTTTTTATCTTGATGACCACTTCAAATTCTTGACTTTTTTGCGAGCATTGGAGATCCACAGTATCTATCTGTAGCACCACATCTCGATAGCCTTCTTCTTCTTCTTCTTCAGCCTGTGTTCGTCCACTGCTGGACATAGGCCTCTTCCATTTGCTTCCATCGATTTCTACTTTTGGCAATTCTCATCCACTGCTTGCCCGCGACTTGTTTGATATCGTCTGTCCACCTCTTCTGCGGTCTGCCTACTCCTCGCCTGTTCTCTCTTGGTCTCCAGTTTGTTAATCTTTGTGTCCATTTTTCGGGATTATCTCGGGCAACGTGTCCGACCCATTGCCACTTGAGCCTTGCAATACGTTCTGAGACATCAGTAATTTTTGTTCTTTCACGAATGACGTTATTTCGAATCCTGTCTCTCAAACTAATCCCTAGCATGGCCCTCTCCATTGCTCTTTGGGTTGTACTGAGCTGCTCTAAGGTTTTCTTTGTGAAGGCCATGGTCTCCAGTCCATATGTAGTTACAGGCAAGATACATTTGTCATAAACTCTACGTTTTAGACACATTGGTATATCTTTATTCTTCAAAATAAAGCTTAATTTGCCGAAAGCTCCCCAAGACAGTTGTATGCGTCTTTTTATTTCGGCTATTTGATTTTCTTTGCCGATTTTAATGGTATGTCCAAGATATATATAGTGGTCTACATTTTCAAGAGTAACGTTGTCAATAACAAGATTAGTTTGTAAATTACTCATTATTTTTGTTTTCTGAAGGTTCATTTTGAGACCTATTTTATTTGACTGCTGGTTTAATTCCTTCAACATTTGCTCCAGTTCCTTGATATCTGTACTAAATAATACTATGTCATCCGCAAACCTCAAATGACTCAAACGTACGAGTGAGCATTCGAGACTCGATACATTTATTATATAAAAAGGGAAACGTACACCATCAATGTTTAGACCTTTTTCCTCCCAGTCAAGCTGTTTGAATACATTTTCCAACGCTAAGGTAAAAAGCTTTGGTGAAATAGTATCACCTTGTCTAATACCTTTATCAAGGCGCATTTTTTCAGTTTTTTCGTCTTCATTGATTTTGATGTGGAATGTGGCCTGTTCATAAATGTTTTTAATGAGTGTAGTGTACCGTGAGTCTATTCGAGCATCCTTCAGGGCTGACAAAAAGGACCAAGTCTCAATACTATCGAAAGCCTTGTGAAAGTCGATAAATGCCATATGTAAAGGTACATTATATTCTGTGGTTTTTTCTACTAGTGTTCTGATGGTTTGTAAGTGATCATTAGCGCCAAACCCTTTTCTAAATCCCGCCTGTTCAACCGGTTGATATAAATCAAGTTTTTGTGTTATGCGGTTGGTTATTATTCTTGTTAACAATTTGTATAAGTGTGACAACAAACTTATAGGTCTGTAGTTTTCAATATTAGTAGTGTCTCCTTTCTTGTGTAAAAGTATTATTTCGGCGTTTTCCCATAGGCTGGGTATTCTTTTTTCTGTTAGACACTTATTCAGTAAGACTTCCACAACTTCTACAACGATGTTGCCGCCCATTTTTAACATTTCAGACGTTATACGATGATCGCCGGGAGCTTTTTTGTTTTTCATTTGCTGTAAGGCATGTCTAATTTCCGAAGAGGTTATTTTAGGGAGGGTTTCCGAGCCGACGTTTAGAATTGTTCTGTGGTCTGTTTCGGGGTTCTGTATAGTAGATGTATAAATATTCTTATAGAACGTTTGTATTTCCTTGATTATTTGAGTTTTTTCGGTCACCGTATTCCCCTGTTGATTTTTGATTTTAGTTAAATTTGATTTCAATACTCTCATGTTTCTATTGTTTTCGATGGTTTGCAATATCTGTTTTGTTTTATAAGCCCGCAAGTCTGACCTTATGCTCTTTTTAACTTTATTGTTGATAGCTTTATACTCTGGTAATTCTTTCGATGTTGTTCTTCTTTCTTCCATTAAATTAAGTGTTGTTTGTTTCAGTTTCGTTTTTCTGGGATTTTTATTTTTATCACAGATCTTTTTTGCAGTTGATGTTATGTCGTTCGTTAATTTTTGTGTTATTTCATTTATATCTTTCATGTTGAATACTGGTAGAGGTCCTAGTTTCTTTTTTAGTTCACTTTGATATTCCTCTTGATTCATTTCGAGTGCTTCTATGTTTGGCAATTTATTCTGTGTTAATAATTTTCTTCTATCTAATTTCGTATTTATTTCTATTCGCGTCCTAACTAATCGATGATCACTACCAGTGTTGAAAGAATTTAGTACAGTAAGATCTTTAGCAATGTTTTTGAAGTTAGAGAGTATAAAGTCAATTTCATTTTTTACTTTGCCATCTGGGCTTAACCACGTCCATTTTCTCTGCATCTTTTTCTTGTAGAAAGTATTTGGCAGAATAGTTTTTCTTTGCTGAGGAAATTTACGAGCATATCTCCCCTGTGATTTCTACTTCCCAGTCCAAAATTTCCAATATATTCGTTGTCGTTGTTATTTTCGTTCTTTCCTATTTTAGCGTTGAAATCTCCCGTAATTATTACGTAATAAGGATGCTGCAGGCTCGATAGCCTACAGCATCTTTATTTTGTCTCCAAGTCTTTTACAGCATTTTTGAAAATTTATTCCAACTATATATAAAATAGAAGAGAGTATATTATATGTCTTGTTGTTCTCTGCGTTGAAAAATATAGCATCTGTCAACTTGCAATATGAGGTGACTAGAAAACCAACAATCTCCACTTTGGCAAAATTTTTAGGAATTAACCTAATTATTTTGTTGAATTTTAAGTGTGGAGATTTCTGATTTTGCTTCAAACACTTAGAGATTGCCGATTTTGCAACAAAGACATACAATATATTAATGAAAAAAACATACATCTTCCTCGAAACTAAATTATCATTAAAAAAATCTTAAAACAAATATTCATGGAACACAAAAAGTTTTAAACAACCAAATCTAATATTTTATCACAACCATCAGCTTCTCCTTCAATATGTACAATATCTCCTTTATTTTATTGGGAATAAAACATATTTTCTAGCATATTATTATCCATGTTTAAAGCGTTATGGTAAAACTCAAGATTTTCTAAGTTTTTCCACATTTCTCCAAAATGTATTGTTAGAAGTTTATTAACGTCGCGAAGTTTTAAGGGGTTAACTTTATCAGCCCCCAATTCAGTAATATCCGGAACAATGCTCCGGTTATCTTTTTCAGCCTTACAACGAAAGTAAAATGTTTAACTAAAGGTCAATTAAAAGGTTCAAATCGCCACTCAATATATAATAATTTAACACCAAGTAAACTGTACTTGATATATAACAGCAATAAGATATAGTGTATTGTACTTTACCCTAATGAAATCATATCACCAACCGCTATAGAAAAGAACATCTTCAATAACTCACCGAGTAGCCTCCACCCCTACTCGATGGAATGACTGTCCGTTCTAACTGATGGTGACTGAGTGACTCGGCCGTTGGGCCAAGAGTTATTTTGTACAAGCTTACATTTACACTTTTAACAAAAGCCATTAATTTTTCTATCGCCCTTTGTTATCATACAAAGTATGAAAGAACAATCTTTTGTTTGCAACAGTGTATTACAACCATTTATTGTTCTATAGCGTCTATAGCGTTTATTGGCGCATAATTGCGAAACTGTAACAAGTACTGCTGGAAAAAATCAGCTCTATGATATTTTCTAAAAACTTCTCAACTTATTGATTGGAGCAGGTAGGTCTCATTGTTTTTTATTCACAACTTTATCAGTTCTTGAAGTATAACTCTTTCCTGCATTCTGAGGGGGTCAAGCTTAATTTTTTCTCGATTCTTCTGGATTTCTTTCTCTTTTATAACCTTTTTTGATAAGCGTACAATTTTCTGTATTATTCAGAGGACTTGTCTTTTTTGGTAGGAATCGTATTTGTTTCATTTTCCAACGATATTTTTTTATGATGGTACATAGTTATCAATATCTTCTTTAAATAAGCTGTCCTCATCATCTGAGAAATGTTGCTGATCATAGACTATTCAAGACATTTTTCTTAAAGTGATTTTGGTTGATGATTGGGTTTCAACAGAATATTATGTACTGGGTCGTGTTTCATAACTATTTGAAATACGTAGATTATCTAAAAGTAATAAATAATCAATAAAAGTAATTTTGATTACAAAAGGAATGTTCCTACCTAGTCCAGGTTCACAAGGCTTATGTAGGAACATACTATTATGGTGTAAACTCGAGTAATTCGGATTTAAATTCACTGGCTGCAATTCTGCTAAAATGGTCGCACCATTGAGGCTTTTTGAAAAACTATTGTCTTCCAATACTGATAGTTTTTATGGAGTACTGTTCTTGTAAATTTTGAGTGGCAAATGAAGTGTCAGTTCAGTCCTCTTCATTATCCAAGAAGAGGTTCTATTACATTGACTGATTTTACATACACTATTTTACACAAATTGTCAATGTTATTTTAGTCAACAATGAAATAAATTCTGGTTACGCGAGTATAAAAACTACTATTCAAAACCATAATGACGTAAATATGTACTTACGACTTTTTTCATCTAGCAAATCGCCAGAGATGTCTAATTTTCTAGGCAAACAATTACAGAACTGTCTTTCGTCCTTCGTCTGAGACTACAATAAAACTTTATTTTATTTTGTTTTAATCTACATTTGTTTCATTGTAGAAATATAAACGAAGTATTCTGTTCGACAGTGTATGAACAACTGACATTTGCGGTGATTTTTGGTACTGATTTATGGTATTGTCCTATTCGAAAGAAGGGCATATTCCAACTTTTTAACACTTTTAACTCAAAACTGCAAAAAATTGCACTTATGTTATTGTTGCACCGGAGAAGCGATATTTTATTCTGTCCAAAGCCTTCCGATGATCTAGAAAACAGATATATACATCACAAAATATTCTGCAGTATACTTAAAATATTTTCATAAATTTTATTGAACCTTTTTTTATTACAGGTGTATTATCCAACAAACAATCAACTGCTTGACGACCAATCAAGTGATGATATCAAAAATAACTGTACTTTTCTTAGTATTTCAAAGTAGATTATCACTTTTGAGGATATTTTTGTTTTTAATGTTCATAACAAAAAGTTGGAGTGAGGAAGGAATAACATTACAAGAAGATGGATATTACATAGATCAATTGAACGAAATAGCTGCAGGGGAAAGGTGAATGGAATTTTAACCTGTTTTATTTTTGAATGAATAAATATAAAGTCAGCTACTAACAAATCTACCTCTTCTAAAAAAATATTTTTTATACAATAAACTAATTTTTTGTTTTACCATAGTAATCTCATGTTGATACATGTGAAAAAAGATGTATTTAAAAATTAGTGATTGCACAATAACTTTGTTTAACAACTCTTTTTGAAATGAGTCAATTGAAGTCTGTTACAAATTAATTAAACTTAATAAATTTGCTGTACCGTTTGTATAGGTTTGTTGTAGTGGATAAGTCCACGGTTTTTCATTATATACAGCTGCTTAGAGGTCCTGAAAATAGCTGCTTCCTCCAATAGAGTTTTTCTCATTTTGAGGTCCATTCCCTTAATTTTATTTGAGATACAAATTTTTGCTTTCCTGAATTTATATCCCTACCACCTAATCTTCTGGGTTTTTAATGCTTACAATGTTTTCTCCCTTCAGTATATTATATTTTTTAAAATTTATTAGTAATGGTATTTGGTTTAAGTCGATTCTCTTGGATCCCATAATTATTCAGATAATGTAAATTCTCTTTAAGTAAAACTTATAGGTTTGGCTATGTAGGTTGCTGTTGGTTTTTTTATTCATTTATTTATTTTCTCACCTTGGAGTTTTTATTTAATTTTTATCTTCTATCATATTTTTATTTTCACATAGTGCTTTATAACCTTGTAGCATTCTTTGCTGGATTTTATATTATTTCATTACTTCTGTGCAATTGACTATTCTTCTTCTAATCGACCTACAACTCTTTGTGAGTCTTCGACTGCTTAACAATGTTCTTTCATTCTGCCCTGTCGGACACTTTCCTTAGCCACTGCCTAATTTTCATTGTACTTCAAGTATGATTCCTACTTTCCAATTTTTTTGGATTCTTTTGACCTCTAGTGTCCATATGCGGTCGATTAGTTTATGAAAACGCCTCCATAGCGCATGTTCACCATTCTGTATCAGTTCTGCAGTTATTCCATTTGTAAAAGGTGCTTTGTTATTTTTTAGCTGCTTTATGACGTTTATCGTTTCTTCCAATGTTGGTTGCTTAACTAGTTGTTCTGCTGTGTCGTGAATTACTTCTTCATCTTTGTTTTGTTCTTTTTCTGAGTTTAACAGCTCTTTAAAATGCTCCTTTCACCTTTTCATTATATCCTGTTTCTCGCTGATAGTTGCCCAATTTTTGTCCTTGCAAACTGTTGATCTTGTCATATATCCTTTGGTGTATTACTTAATTTTCTTGTAACATTTTCTAGTTTCTCTTCTGTTATTATAATCTGTAATTTGTTGTATTTTTCTATTCAATATTTCTGTTTTTTCCACATATTTTCTTTGCATCCATTTTGAGTTCTTCATATGCCCTTCTATTCAATCGGGAATCTTTTTGTAGACATTTCTGTCTAGCTATATTTTTGATATTTACTACTTGTTGTCAATCTTGATCAAACCATTCCTCTTTTCTTTTGCATAAGGTCTCACCTAATGTTTCTTTTGCCAAATTTGTAATTGTCGTTTGGATGACATTTCATTCTTCTTCAAAGTTGTTTTGCTGTCCTCTTTCATTTAAAAATACTTTTTTGTGCAGTACTATCCCAGGCTATTTAAACGTTTCTATTTTCTTGAAGTTATACTGATTAATTTTGAATAAAGAAATTGGAGTTTGTTCTTTCTGCTAATATGCATATCTTTTGTTCTTTTGTTTGTTTACTTAATAACTTGTCGAGTATTATTTTCAGCACTGATACATTAACGTGTCCATCAACTAATATCATCACCACCAGATACAAGTGTAACGAGAAAGGGAAATGGGTAGATTGCACCAGAAGACAATGTTGTCCTGATTATGTATATATAGCAGGAAGGTAAGTGAGCAGCTAGAAGCATTTTATCTAATATTGGGGTTATTAATATTTAACCAAAATAGATAGCAAGAAAAAATAATTCAATAAAGTGTTATCTGAAAAATTATTGTATAGCTTGTAGGCTGCTCAAAAGGGAAGAAAACAGTATATACATACATAACCAGTACGTCTGTTACAGCTTGAACTATTCCTTGTTCAATTTGCGCAAGCTATTTTTATCAATCCTTTTATTATGACCTAATTTCCTATTGCCTTTTAATACTTGTCCAGGAGCTGCCATAATTATCTCTATCGGAATGTTACCGAAGGATCAGACCTGACCAAACAACTATTAAAACGAATTCAAAAAATCAAAGAACCAAATAGAATTCGTCAAGAATGGAGATCAAGCAACGTAATCCCTGTCTTCAAAAAGAGAAACAAATCGAACCCAGAAAACTACATAGGAATTAATTTAATAAACACAAAATAATTAACAATTAAAAGTGATAACAAATAAGCTGAAAGAAATTATAACACTAGCAGAACAACAACGTTTTAGGTCGGGAAAATCATGCACCTATGCTATATTTATAATGAGGCAAGTGCCTTTAGGAATTTATTTGATTATTTAATTTATTCTAGATGTCTACATAAGACGCAAGATCCGTGTTCGCTAAAATTCTGTGAACAACGATGTACTGTGTATATGCAACGAATTATTTGTACTTGTTTCCATGGATACAAGTTTAGCCCCGAAAATCAAAAACATAATAAAAAACCGGTTTGCGTAGGTAAGTAATTCCAAGATTTGTTTTGTAGAAGATTAAAGAGCAGTTACAGTGCATGTCGTATATTTACTAATCTTTACTGCAGTTTCTTGTACTTGTTAATGAAAGGATTTGCTGTCTAGAATGCTAAAAAATGACACATGTTCAACAATTTTTTTTATATTATCTATTATGTATGGCAATTTTGTTAAAAACAGAAAAAAGGCTTATAAGATATATAAAAACAACACAAACTTTGAAAATAATATCAAATTTAAACATATTCAAGCCAAAGCTAAATTGATTTTCAAGCAAAAGCAGCAACTATGTTGGAAGAATTTTATTAATAAATTAAATAAAAATACTCTACTACGATCTCAAAAATTTAAAGCTTTATAAAAAACATATTCAAAATATAAACAAAAATTCAACTTTTAAGAAATACGTTCTCTCTGAAGAACTAATAAACCAAATTTTTGATATTGTAGCACCTAGTGTACCAAATATGATTATAGGATTTAAACTCAATACTGTAAATCACTATATGGATAAGTCAAGTCAAGTCTAATTTATTGATCACATGCGACATTATACAAAGTACATGTATGAGACAAGTCAAAAATACAGACATACATCTTAAAATTATATAAATTAATTAAACACGATAAAACATACTTAAAAATTATTTTTAGAATATGGCTCTAGCTCACAAATGTATTGATGTACACACCTCCGAAAGTTTGACTGATGTAAATTCATTCGTATATCTATTGGTAATTTGTTAAAGAAACTTACGGCTGCATAATGTGTGCTACTTTCCAACAAAACAGAACGATGTTGTGGAAGCATAAAGTGATTGTCTCTGAATCTTGTCGAATAAACATGGTTAAATTGAAATTTATTAAATTCATAAATTTTGCTATGCAAATACATTATACACGAAAATATATATACAGACCAGGAATTGTCAGAATATTGTTTTGTCTAAAGATGCCTCTACAAGAATCTCTAAATTTCATTTTATACATTATCCTAGAAGCTCTTTTCTGAAGTACGAATATCTGCTCTAATTCAGAGGTACAACCCCAGACTTCAATGCCATATTTAACTATTGAGTAAAAATGGGCAAAGTATACTGTTTTTAATATTAGTGTATGAAAGAAACGTGAAAGAATTCTTAATGCATAACATGCGGTACTTAATCTGGATTTCAAATTAGAAATGTGGTTTGACCATTTACAATTACTGTCTAGAAGTACCCCCAGCAACTTCGTGCAGTCTGTTTTATCTATTGCTGCTTCTATAGTGGCTTGATGGTTTAATGAATTATTTGACGTGAAAATCATATACTTTGATTTCTCTTCATTCAAAACTAATTTGTTGGATAAGAAATAACTTTTGATGGTGGATAGTATCTGTGAAGTTTTATTTTGCAAATTTTGATCAGACGTTCCTGTGACTAGAATGTTGTTATCATCCACATAACTGATAATGTTAACCCCAGTCAGTGAATTAGTTACCAAAGTTATATCATTAATAAATACTATAAAAAATAGAGGACCCAATACACTACCCTGAGGGATACCATAATGGATATCCAATGTGTTTGATTCGTTTACAAGTCCATTAGATGTTATCTTTACTTTTTGTCTTCTATTCTCTAGGTAGGAAGTAAACCATTTTAGAACTATACCACGAATATCAATCCCCTCAAGTTTTATTAGCAACAAATTATGATTCAAAGTGTCAAAAGCCTTGGACAAATCGAGAAATAAACCACATGCCTTCTCTCGTCTGTCCAAAGCATCCAACACTAAGCTGACGAAATTTGCAAGAGCTGTAGTTGTAGACTTAGAAGATGTAAAACCATGTTGAAAATTATGCAAGACACTATGCTTTTTTAGAAATCCGTTTATTCTAGTATAAACTAGAGTTTCAATTATCTTTAAAAACACAGATAAGAGACTTATGGGACAATAGTTGTTAAGGTCATCTTTATCACCACTTTTGAATAAAGGGATTACAATAGATAGTATAAACATACTAGGAAATATTCCTTGTTGAAAAGAGGCATTACAAATATCCGTCAGTGGATCTGCGAGAGCATGAATGCATTATTTTAATAACTTAGGGGAAATCTGATCAAAAACCACAACTAGGTAGGCATTTCAACATTGACAAACTAAAAGCTGCAACTACCACCTCTAGTTGTACTGCCTCTGATCTTTATTACTACTCTTCTTCTTCTTTTTCTTTTTCTTCTTCTTCTGCTTCTTCTTCATCTTCTTCTGCTTCTTCTTCTATTTCTTTCTATCTAAACATGACTCCGCCTTTTAGCAGTAAATTTTAGATGAAAAATTTAAATGAAACAATGAAATAATAAAAAAATAGAACAACATTTTTGTAATCTTTAAAATAATGTAGAATGAGTTTAATTGCCATATTACGATATTAATAAACATAGTTGAAAATGTGTCATTTTTGGACATTCCAGACGGCAATACACAGTACCTTAATAATCTTTTATTTGACAGATATTGACGAATGTAAAGAAAAAAATGGAGGGTGCCAACACATCTGCGTTAATCAGTTAGGAAAGTATAAATGTGACTGTAAAGCAGGGTTTAAACTCCGCAACGATAATAAAACTTGTGCTCCAGAAAATTTGTTAGATACTTCAGATTCGAAGAATCAAGCAGCTTACATGGATATGTGTTACGCGAATTGTGATAGTCTGACTAGGCTTCAAACCCAGCTGGATCTCCTACATGAAAAAGTAAGTAGTCTTGACAATGTATCTGTCTCTTATCTTATTGTACTGTGTTTCGCAAATTCCTGTTAACTCATTAATACCTTTAAATTTTTATCAAAACGAAATTAAAACTTTAGCAAGAAATAAAGAGAAGTTATTTTTAATAGCAATGAGCATAATTTACGTTTTTTCTTTGTAACTTTTTGGGAAAGTATCATCATCATCATTGGCTTTTAGAACTCTTCGTGAGTTTTTGCCGCGTTTACTATTGCCTTCCATTGATTCCGATCCTGTGCTATTATTTCCCATGGCCTTACTTCCATCTTCTTCAGGTCTTCCCTGACTGCGTCTTTACACCTTTTTCTAGGCCTTCCTGTCGATCTTCTGCCATCTGGTCTTTCCCAAAACACATTGCTAATCAGTCTGTCGTCATCACTCCTCCATTCATTTGTCACGCTGTCCCTGCAAGGACCATATATAATTCGCAGGATTTTGCGTTCCCATACTAATTGCTTATTGATTTCTTTCTTTCTCAATGTCCATGTTTCACTTCCATATGTCACTGCTGGTCGTATTATGGTTTTGTACATTTGGATTTTGGTACGCCTTGAGAGAAGCTTTGACCTCATTAGATGTTGAATGGCAAATAATGATTTATTCCCCGCCAGTATTCGTATTTCAACCTCCCGTTCTCCTGTGTTTTCACTGGTAATTGTTGCTCCTAGGTATTTGAATTCTTTGACCACCTCAAAATTATGATCGTTTATGGAAAGCCTTTGAAGTTTTGCCTCCTATGCACTCCACAGTTTTAAGCGATCTATGGAATCATAGCTTTTTTGAAATCTATGAAGATCTGGTGTACTTCTTTATTATATTCCCAATACTTTTCTAGCATTTGTCTGATAGTAAATATTTGGTCGATTGTTGATCTTCCAGGCCTAAAGCCGCATTGGTAACCGCCAATAATTTCCTCTGTATATGGCAGTAATCGTTTTAGTACAACTAAAGCTAATATCTTATATGTAGTACCGATTAGTGAGATTCCCCTGTAGTTGCCACATGTATCTTTCTGCCTTTTTATGTATTGGCACGATAATACAGCCACTCCATTCTTTTGGCATTATTTCTTGTTCCCAGGCTTCTTTCATTAATTGGTGTATTTTAGTTCTAAGTTCTTGCCCTCCTTTTTTAATCAGTTCTGTATGTAGTATTTAATTTTATATTTTTACATTTAATCTTTTTCTTTTACTGAACTATAATGTGATCTAATTTAATAACATATTCTAACAATTTTGCTTTAAAATATATTGTTTCCGGTTAGTTCGTAAAATCTCATTGTTAAACTGGCATAAACACATTTAGTCTGTTTAGAGAATTTGACTTCCTTTTGTTATTTTTGAAAAGTATTTCAAAGCGCCCTACAATAGGGTTGATTTATGGGCATGCACATTTTATTTATGATAATGCACCAAACACGTTTACCAACTTTTAGTCCCGTTGACCGTCCTACAGTAACATATTAGGTCAAAGCAAAAATAACAATATAATAAACAAATTGACAAAAATATTTTAAACCAACTAATTTTTAAAGTATTGTATTTATAGGTGGCTGCACTAAGTACCGCAATTAGATTGTCTAGTTTTGCTTCCGGACCACCAGGTCCAATGGGTCCTCCCGGAGCGCCTGGGCCACCAGGTCCTCGTGGCTTTCCAGGTAATTTTTTTAATTATTTTAATTCCCTTAAGTACATTTGAATAACAATGACCAGCACTTCCTGATACAATCATGGACTGCATGTAAAAGAAACTGTATTGATGTCAGCGGCGGCCGGCCAGGTGAAATAGGTGAAGGTGAGGTTCTCAAAAAAAAAAAAGTATAATTAAATTGAGACAAATAAATAAAAAATAAAAACAACATTATTATATTTAAATTCTGAAATTAATTATTTATTCTCTTTTAATTAACCTAAAAATAAAAAAAGATAACTAGCTTTATTAGCGGTAGGTACTTGACGGTCAAGTCCTGACCTGTGTCACTAGCCGTTTACGATTCAGGAATATCATTTTTGAAATGCGGAATCCATCTGCACAAGCGTTCACGGTTGCCATGGCAACTTGATGTCAGTCTGTCGTTAGTGATTGTTATTAGAGCTCTAAACTACATTTTTTTTAACGAATTTTTAATCAGATTTGGGCGCGACGTAGGTATAGTGCGCGCAAGCACTCTTGACCACGGCGCAGTAGATGAAATTTGGTTTAGTCACCACTTCCGTGTGAAACGCATTGTACTATGCACTGTATAATTCCATTTACAATAGAACCTTTCTGCCTTTACTTGAATTTGACTCCGCCTTCGCGCAGCTCCATGGTCAAGAGTGCTTGCGCGCACTATACCAAAACTCCTTCTAGCTCCAACAAGGTTTCCTCGTCTTCACCTCTTTTTTAGGCCACGAGCCGCCGCTGGGAGAAATCACTCTCTCAGGTCACTTAAAGAAATCACTTAATCTTTTGTCTTTTGTCCAATATTTCCAGACCCGTTCGATGAAGGTTAATATTATGAAATTTATTATGCGATAATATTAATTTTAATAAAATAAAATTGTTACTTTTTAATTATAGGTCCGGAAGTGTCTCCAAATAGCATTAACTCCCACCTTGATTATACTTACTCTGTAGTTGACACATACGCTCCATTTGGAAATGACGATAACCAGCAATGCATTTGCAAGAGAGGGCCACAAGTAAGTTACTTCAATACATACTCCATGTTTTTCAATACATACAATAAATAGTACATTGTTTACCGGGTAGGAAAAGCTTAACATTCCTGGACGACTGTGAAGATTGCTAAGTCGAGGCGCAAGCCGAGACTTAGCAACACAGAATCCAGGAATGTGGCTTTTCCTACGAGGTAAACATACTATTTTTCCGCAAATCGTTTAGAATTCGACAGATATTGATTGATTTAAAAAAAAAACGCGATAATTTTATTCTCAAATAAATGGTGCTTTGAAATTCCTAATAAAATTACTTGGGTTACTATGGAAACGTATTGAGGTTGAATTGTCAAACTTCTATCATTTATGTAGAACACTAACAACTGTACGGAAATATCATTTCCTTACAGTAAGGAAATGATATTTCCTTACAGTAAGGAAGTCCTGACTTTTTCTTCAAGAAATTTTGACAGGAATGTCAAAATTTCCTGGCGATTTGCGGAAAATAATAATTATTGTAATTCTTTATGTTTCAAGGGACAACTGGGAGCACAAGGACCACAAGGACCTAAAGGTGAAAGGGGAGAACCGGGACCAAAAGGGCCAAGAGGGGACAAATGGTCAATTGATTTCTTCTTGCTAATGCTTGCTGATTTACGACACGATATTGTGCATATGCAGAAGAAAGTTTATACTAACGGAGAAGTGTAAGTAAATAAGTAAATAAATATCGTTGTATAAAATATTTTTTATTAAATTAAATCAATGCGTGAAAGTATTTTTTAGAGATGCCACAAGAAAATTCATTCAGAATTTTATACATAGTGGCCTATAAGTCTGGAAACGGCTAATTATCTCGTAAAATCTAATCATAATTGTACAAAATTTGAGATACACCTATTTTGGGATACGAAGATTCCATATTTAATATTTACAATGTTGCCAGATTTGCTGTTTTGTTATATTATTAGTAACTTTGGTTTTTCAAATACATCATCCTGTATATTCAGTCATTATTGGAATCTCCTATTCAATACGAGTTCAACAATATGTAACACTTATGATTTTATGTAATCTGGAAGGTCTTAAATACATAAAACAGAAGTCTGGCAACGCCTAAATTGTTTCAATACATTTTTTAATACTAACTATTTTCAAATACATTAAAACGTAACAATTGATAGTTTAGATCATTTTTTAACATATTAGTTACGTTATTAAGTTTTTAAAATGTGCTCAATTTGTGAGTTGACAGCACCCTAATCGATGGCAGAAGGCGTCTACCACATTTCTCCATGATTGTCTAGAAATTATTTGAGATTCATTAATAATTCGTTGCCTTAGCTCTGCAAGACTTGCTGGTTAAGTTTTGTAAACTGAATTTTTCAAGTAGGTATCCCTAATTAAAATAATCTTTAGGATTGAAATCGGGTGAACGTGGAGGCCATTCAATTCTACCTTGTCTACCAATTTATCGTCCAGGAAATATCTCATCTAAATATCGCCGAACATTTACACCAACTGTCTAACGTTAAATTTCTTTCGACAAAAAATGACCCAATTGAATAAGTAACTACTATATCTGACCATACATTTAATTTTTGTGGTCTTTGAGTATGGTTTTCACGCATTCAGTCTTCAGTGTGAATTTACGTCACACCAGTACCTTAAGTTGTGTCGATTTACACTTTCACATAGTGTAAAAGTTGCTTCTTCGGAAAAACATATTCTGTTAACGAAATTTTAATAATTTTCAATTTTATTCATCATTACCTCAGTAAACTCTAATATACGGCCAAAGTTATCTTCACTTAATTCTTGCAATGAGTTAATTTTGTATAATTTAAATTTATTTTTACGTAATAAACGTAAGACTTAAGAATGACCTACATCATGTACTTGTGCAACCCTGCCTGGGGATGTATGTGGATCTTCAAGAAAATTTTGCTTATATCTAAAGTTTTGTTGTCATTGATAACTCGTTTCGGTCAACCTGATCGGTAGCTATGTTTTACTTCTCCAGATTCCTCAAATCGCCTTACAGTTTTTTGTACCGTCGTCTTATGAATAGGACAACGGTTTAGAGAACGGCATTTTAGAGAAACAATTTCAATTGCAGAACTTTTTGAACCACAACTACTGTCAACTTAAGTTCACAATTTAAATGGTAAACAAATATCAATATCACAGCATTTTCCATTTAAATATTTAAATTTATTAAAATCTACATATTTTGCACTGTTTTATGTATTTAAGATCTTTCAGACTACATAAAATCAAGTGAACATATGGTTAAACTCGTATTGAATAGCTGAACTCGTGTGAAATTCACACTGAATGCGTGAAAACCATACTCTAAGACCACAAAAATGAAATGTATGGTAAGTTATAGTAGGTACTTATTTAATTGGGCCATTTTTTATCGAAAGAAATTTAACGTCAGATAGTTGGTGTAAATGTTCGGCGTTATCTAGATAAGATATTTCCCGGACGATAAATTGGTAGACAAAGTAGAATTGAATGGCCTCCACATTCATCCGATCTCAATCCTAAAGATTATTTTTATTAGAAATACTTGAACAATTCAGTTTACAAAACTTAACCAGCAAGTCTTGCATAGCTAAGGCAATGAATTATCGATGAATCTCGAATAATTTCTAGACAATCATGGAGAAATGTGGTAGACGCATTCTACCATCGATTAGAGTGCTGTCAACTGACAAATGGAGCATATTTTGAACAATTACTAACGTAACTATTATGTTAAAAAATATTCTAAACCATCAATTGTTACGTTTTAATCTATTTGAAAATAGTTAGTATTAAAAAATTTATTGAAACAATTTAGGCGTTGCCAGACTTCGGTTTTATGCATTTAAGACCTTCCAGACTACATAAAATCATAAGTGTTACATATGGTTGAAGTATTTAATAGGAGATTCCAATAATGACTGAATATACAGGGTGATGCATTTGAAAAACCAAAGTTACTAGTAATATAAGAGAAACTGAAAATCTGGCAACATTGCAAATACCAAATATGGAATCTCCGTATCCCAAAATAGGCGTATCTCAAATTTTGTATAATTATGTCTAGTAATTTACGAGATAATTAGCCGTTTCCAGACTTTTGGGCCACTCTGTATGTTTATTTTTTAGGCCACCGAAATTCGACTTCGAAACAGCACTACAGAAAAAACGATTCAGACAGAAGCATCAATTTATTCACCACAAAAAGATTTTGGAAGGGTTCGCTAATCCCCCAATTACAAGTAGTAAGGATAATACCACTGATACAAAAGTTACGGAACCTATCCCGATAAAAAAGATTAATCAAGAAACTACTGACAGTATTGAAGAATTTAGAGACGATACCGTAGCAGTGACTGAAAGTGCCGAGCTGGATATTGCTGACAGTGATATTGAAGACTATGACGATTTTGATGAGATGACGGATGATGATTACATGTGATATATCTTACAAACGAAAATAATATATTAAGAAATACTGTATTCTATATTATATGTTAGGATATGCAGATTTATAATTAATGTAGTTGTTAATTTAGTTTTGTAAATACACAAATAAATTATATTTTATCCGTGTGGCTTTTCAATTTCGTCTTCTTGGTTTGAATTTTGGCGATTAAAACAACTATTTTGCTGTAATGATACATATATATATATATATATATATATATATATATATATATATATATATATATATATATATAATATTTATATATATATATATATATATATATATATATATATATAAATATATATATATATATATATATATATATATATATAAATATATATATATATATATATATATATATATATTTTATATATATATATATATATATATTTATATATATATATATATATATATATATATATTTATATATATATATATATATATATATATATATATATATATATATATATATCGGAAAAAGGAGTACGACCGTCAATCCAATATATATATAAGGATCACTCAGACGAGTGGTGGGTTCTTATATCGGTCTCTAGGTGGAGAAATAAAAGACAAAGTTGATAGGCTACTTTATCTATTTTGAAGACGTTTCGCTTTCGAGTTTTGAAAGCATCATCAGTTCATCTAAAAAATTATTACAATATGAGAACCACACAATCATGGAAACGATGTTAATTGTTACCTTAAAAAGATATGTAGCAGTCAATGTTATTAACAAATATGTGAATGAAACTAAGTAAATGGACATAGTACGCTGATCTTGTATAAACAGTTAAGCAACTAACAACATATATGAACTTGTACAAAAATTAGCACAGCAATTGACCATGTGGTCCAAAATAAATTCAATGTTATTTATGTTAATAAGTGAGAAAGAACCAAGAAAATCATAAATAACCTCCAACTATTTAATGGATATTAAACTTTGATTTTAACTTTAGGTAGCATTATAAGTAATATTAATAAAATTCTACAAAGTAGTGAATATGAAGTTACCGATCAAAGCCTTATGGATGTCGCCGTGAAAATGGCGTTAGATGAAACAGGAACGAACTAACCGCAAAAAGACAGCCAACCTTGAGGTCAAAATTACTTTTGACAGATCAACAAGGTGTAAATACCAACCCAGAATTTTGGGCGGTTAATTTAATTTTTTTTATTTTCTAACTGAGTCTGGATGACTACCAGGTTGTAAAGGACAACAACAGTGAAAAAAGTTGGTAGTGTACACACAACTCCCCTCACTAACCGGCCCAAATTTACAAACCGGAGATTTGCATTCAAACTCATAATAATGTAATGACGTTAATCATGTGGCAAGGTAAATAGTCAGGTGATTAACGATATTATAATTTCCATACAGCCCAAGGTTCAATATACTTGGAGCTGTGATTTGTAAAGGATTCTATGAATCAATTACAATGTTTGTATTATTTTATATATAATTTAAAACTCTAATCAAAGAATTTAGTGTAATGAAATGCAATATGGGTTGCATATGTAATAGTAAAATTAAGTAAAGAAATTGAGTTATTTAATTGATATATTTATTTATTTTATTTCTATTTATGTATGTAAATTATTTTATGAGAAGTGGAAAAAAGTTCAACTAGTACACCTAATATGACATTAATGTAGTGAAAAGATTAAGTAGCCTAATTCTGCAAAATTAAAGCATGATATATCTGGCTCAAGTTACTTATGTCAGTTCTCTTATTCAATGCATTAGGATGTTTTAATATTGAACACATTTCCAAAAACTGTCTTTTCGCTAGATTGCGTTCAGTGGCAAGAATCTTAACTTCATTAAAATCCACTTCATGTTTTGTATTTATCGCATGTTGTGCTAGAGCACAAGTGTGTTTCGATAAGTTAATGTCGCTACGATGTGAAGTGAGACGACCTTTCAATGATCTACCAGATTGCCCAATGTAACAAAGATCGCAATTAGCGCATGGAATTTTATAAATTGTGTTCACTTGTTCCAAAGTGGACAAGGGTGTTTTAGTTTTAGAGAACAAATTTCTAACAGTTTTTGCATTCTTAACAGCAATTTTAACAGGTATATTATTTTGTTTATGACCAACTTATAAACATCTCTAATAATTCTATAAATAGCACTGTTCTGCATAATACCGATCTTGAGAATACTATCACGCATTACTCTTCCTTACCATATTTCCCTCAAGTTACTGAGAAGCTTATTAAATTGTATAAACAAAATAATATACCTGTTAAAATTGCTGTTAAGAATGCAAAAACTGTTAGAAATTTGTTCTCTAAAACTAAAACACCCTTGTCCACTTTGGAACAAGTGAACACAATTTATAAAATTCCATGCGCTAATTGCGATCTTTGTTACATTGGGCAATCTGGTAGATCATTGAAAGGTCGTCTCACTTCACATCGTAGCGACATTAACTTATCGAAACACACTTGTGCTCTAGCACAACATGCGATAAATACAAAACATGAAGTGGATTTTAATGAAGTTAAGATTCTTGCCACTGAACGCAATCTAGCGAAAAGACAGTTTTTGGAAATGTGTTCAATATTAAAACATCCTAATGCATTGAATAAGAGAACTGACATAAGTAACTTGAGCCAGATATATCATGCTTTAATTTTGCAGAATTAGGCTACTTAATCTTTTCACTACATTAATGTCATATTAGGTGTACTAGTTGAACTTTTTTCCACTTCTCATAAAATAATTTACATACATAAATAGAAATAAAATAAATAAATATATCAATTAAATAACTCAATTTCTTTACTTAATTTTACTATTACATATGCAACCCATATTGCATTTCATTACACTAAATTCTTTGATTAGAGTTTTAAATTATATATAAAATAATACAAACATTGTAATTGATTCATAGAATCCTTTACAAATCACAGCTCCAAGTATATTGAACCTTGGGCTGTATGGAAATTATAATATCGTTAATCACCTGACTATTTACCTTGCCACATGATTAACGTCATTACATTATTATGAGTTTGAATGCAAATCTCCGGTTTGTAAATTTGGGCCGGTTAGTGAGGGGAGTTGTGTGTACACTACCAACTTTTTTCACTGTTGTTGTCCTTTACAACCTGGTAGTCATCCAGACTCAGTTAGAAAATAAAAAAAATTAAATTAACCGCCCAAAATTCTGGGTTGGTATTTACACCTTGTTGATCTGTCAAAAGTAATTTTGACCTCAAGGTTGGCTGTCTTTTTGCGGTTAGTTCGTTCCTGTTTCATCTAACGCCATTTTCACGGCGACATCCATAAGGCTTTGATCGGTAACTTCATATTCACTACTTTGTAGAATTTTATTAATATTACTTATAATGCTACCTAAAGTTAAAATCAAAGTTTAATATCCATTAAATAGTTGGAGGTTATTTATGATTTTCTTGGTTCTTTCTCACTTATTAACATAAATAACATTGAATTTATTTTGGACCACATGGTCAATTGCTGTGCTAATTTTTGTACAAGTTCATATATGTTGTTAGTTGCTTAACTGTTTATACAAGATCAGCGTACTATGTCCATTTACTTAGTTTCATTCACATATTTGTTAATAACATTGACTGCTACATATCTTTTTAAGGTAACAATTAACATCGTTTCCATGATTGTGTGGTTCTCATATTGTAATAATTTTTTAGATGAACTGATGATGCTTTCAAAACTCGAAAGCGAAACGTCTTCAAAATAGATAAAGTAGCCTATCAACTTTGTCTTTTATTTCTCCACCTAGAGACCGATATAAGAACCCACCACTCGTCTGAGTGATCCTTATATATATATATATATATATATATATATATATATATATATATATATATATATATATATATGTATATATATATATATAATATATATATATATATAAAATATATATATATATATATATATATATATATATTTATTTATATATATATATATATATATATATATATATATATATATATATATATATTATATATATATATATATATATATATATATATATATATATATATAGCGACTGTTTGCAACTTTAATTTTGTCGCTTCTCGCATCCCAATCGCCATAATTTCTTATTGGCCCAGTCTCCTTCTTGAAGACCTCTATTTTCCATTTCTATATGAATATTGGATATCCATTTCTTTCTTGGCCTTCCCCTTTTATTTCTCTGTGTAGGTCTCCAGTTCCAAACCTTTCGTGGTATCCTTTCTTCGTTCATCCGTCTCAAGTGTCCATACCATTTTAATTGTTTTTCGGCTATCGTATCCATTATTGTGTTCTTTACTTTCATTCTCTCTCTTATGTTTTCATTTCTTATGTGGTCAAACAAAGTTAACCCGGAACATCTTCTCCAGTACATCATTTCCGTCGAGAGGAGTTTTTGTGACATATTCTTGTTAAAGACCCAGACTTCTGAAACATACGTCAGCACCGGCTGAATCATAGCCTGATATATATTTTTCTTTGTTTTCTTAGTTAAAGTTTTATTTCACAGGATCGGATGTAGTGTTTTTATCATGTTTTTTCCTTTTCCTATTTTTCTTGTTATATCTTTGTCGTCTCTCCCGTCTTTGCTTAGTGTAACTCCGAGATATTCGTACTGATCAACGTTTTTAATTAATCCGCTTTCTGTTTCCATGTCTTGACCGATGCCTCCTATATTCATGTATTGTGTCTTTTCGGTATTAACCTCTAATCCCCATTTTTTGAATTCGTCTATTAGTTTGTTTATCATGTACGTCATATCTTGTAGGTCCTCGGCAAGAACTACCTGGTCGTCTGCGAAGAGGATTGTGTATATAGGAGTGTCATTTACCCATATGCCCATTGGGCTGCATTTTCTCATCCAATATTTTAAAGCATTACCAAGATATATTTTAAATAGGGTTGGGGAGAGGCAAGAGCTCTGTTTGACACCCTTTGTTTGGGTGAAACCCTTGGAAATTTGGTTATCAACCTTAATATAAGCTTGGTTATCTTGATATAGCTTTTTCACGGCATTTATATATACTGCATTTATACCTGCGTTTTCCAATGTTGTCCATAGTCTCTGCAGTGGTACGGAGTCAAACGCTTTACGGAGATCTATAAAA